GACGACATCATGCAAGGGTGTGCCGCCACCTAGGCTTTTATTATATAGGACTAGAGCCCGGTGCATGAAACTTGTGCATGGGTGGGGGGATGTCCCTCAGCCCAGCCTGCACCCTCTCCAGTCTGGGATGCCTCGGGGGATGTCCGACTGCCGGTTTAGGCCGATCCCAGCAGTCGGACATCCCTCTCACAATCCGGGACCACTGGCTCCTAACTACTCGCCCGCCTGCCTACCTGCCTTATTGCCCCTAACCACCTCTGCCTGCTGGCCTGATCACCCCCTAACTACTCTCCCCTGCCGGCCTGATCATCCCCAACTTCCCTCCCCTGCCAACCTGATCGCCCCCTAACTGCTTGCTCCCCACACTGGCCTGATCGCGCCCCTAACTACTTGCTCCCCTGCGCCGGCCTGATCTTGCCCCAACTGCCTCTGCCTTGGCCCCCGCCACTGTGGCTTTGCCCGGAAGGAAGGCAGGACCCAGTCTAATTAGCATATTACTATTTTATTAGTATAGATTGGTCATCTATATGTCTACTTTGGAGAAATGTCTATTCAGATCCTCTGCCCATTTTTAAAACAGACTGTTTTCTTTTTGGTGTTAAGTTGTATGAGTTCCATATATAGTTTGATTATTAACCTATTGTTGGATATATCATTGGCGAATATCTTCTCCCATTCAGTAGGTTATCATTTCATTTTGTTGGTGGTTTCCTTCCCTGTACAAAAACTCTTTAGTTTGATATAGATCCATTTGCTTATTTATTTTTCTTTTGTTTCCCTTGCCTGAGGAGATATATCCAAAAAAAATTACTAAGAGTGATGTCAAAGAGTTTACTGCCTATGTGTTCTTCTAGGAGATTGGGTCTTCAGTTTAAGTATTTAATCTATTTGGAGATTATTCTTGTATATGGTATAAGAAAGTGATCCAGTTTCATTTTTTGCATGTTTCTGTCCAGTTTTCCCAACACCATTTATTGAAGATACTGTCTTTATCCCATTGTATATTCTTGCCTTCTTTGTCATAGACTAATTCCATATAGACATGAGTTTATTTTGTGTTCTTTATTCTGTTCCATTGATCTATGTGTCTCTGTTTATGCCAATCATGCTGTTTTGATTACTATAGCCTTGTAATATAGTTTGATATCAGGTTACATACCTTCAAATGTGTTCTTTCTCAAGATTGCTTTAGATATTATCCATACTGTGTCCTTTGATTGAAGCAGTTAGTCCACTTACATTTAAAGTAATTATTGATAGGTATTACTTTATGACTATTTTTGTATTTCTTCTCTGTTTCTTATTTATTTTGCTCTCTTTTCTTGTATGCTGTTGACTTTGTGTAGTGTCATATTTGTATTCCTTTTTATTTCTTGTAGGTTTTTGGTTTGTGGTTACCATGTGCTTCATATATACCAAGCTATGTTTATAGCTGTCTACTTTAAGTACCTAAGTTCAAACACATTCTAAAATAACTACAATTTTTACTCATCCCCTCCATGTTTATGTTTTTGTCATTGTTTTTACTTTTTGTATATGTATTTGTGTGTATTCCTTAATTTATTGTTGTAATTACTCATCATCTTTCTACTTTTGCCTTTTAACCTTTGTACTAGCTTTATAGTTGGTTGATCCCCTGCTTTTACTGTTTACCTTTGTGAGAATTTTTTTTTCTTATTCATAGTTTTGATCTTTTCTACTTAAAGGAGTACCTTTAACATTTTCTGTACTACTGGGTTAGTGGTGATGAATTTCCTTAGCTTTTTCTTGTCTGGGAAGCTCTTTATCTCTCCTTCTATTCTAAATGATAGACTTGCTAAGTATAATAATCTTGGATGTAGGTCTTTGCTTTTCATCACTTTATATATTTGTGCCAGTGTCTTCTGGCCTGCAGAGTTTCTGTTGAGAAATCAGTTCACAGTCCTATGGGAGCTGCCTTATACATAATTAACTGCTTTTCTGTCACTACTTTTATGATTCTCTACTTATCGTTCACCTTCAGCATTTTAACTATGATGTGTCTTAGTGTGGGACTCTTCAGGTTCACCAAGTTTGTGACTCTCTGTGCTTTCTGGACTTGTATGTCTATTTCCATCACCAGGTTAGGGAAGTTTTCAGTCATTATTTCTTCAAAAAAAGTTTTCATCCTTTGCTCTTTTCTCCTTCTGATATCCCTATGATGCAAATGTTGGTATGCTTGATGTTGTACCAAGGGTCCCTTAAACTATTCTATTTTTTTTCTTTGCTGTTCTGATAGGGTGTTTTCTGCTACTTTGTCTTCCAGATTGCTCATTTGATAAACTACTTCATCTAATCTGCTCTTGATTCCCTCTAATATATTCTTCATTTCGAACTGATTTTTTTTAATGTTTCCTGTCTCTTTGTTGACATTCTCAATGAGTTCATCTACTATTTCCCTAAGTTCCTTGAGCATCCTTATAACCAATGTTTTGCATCTGGTAGATTGCTTGTCTCCATTTTGTTCAGTTCTTTTTCTGAAGTTTTTCTCCTGTTCTGTTCTTTCATTTGGGACATGTTTCTTTGTCTCTACATTTTGTCTGACTCCCCATGTTTGTTTCTGTGTATTAGGTAGATCTGCTATGTCTCCCACTCTTGGCAGAGTGGCCTTATGTAGTAGGTATTCTGTGAGACTCAGTGTGTAGTGTCCCTGTTCATCTCAGGCAGGTGGTTCAGGTGGTCTCAGGTGTTGTGTGTGCCCTTCTGTTGTAGGTGAGCCTTGATTGCTATTGGGACATAAGTGCGTGGGATTGTCTCTCAGGCTGACTGGCTGTAACTACGGCAGACCATCCCACAGTGCAGCAGTTGCTTTAGTGGGGCTCTGGTGCCAGCCAAGTCTGCCTTTTGGGTGTGTTGTTTGTGGACCTGGTTGGGTGCTGCTGTGGTGTAATTTGAAGCAGGTCCCTGGGTTTGTTGATTCTGGAGGCTTTTGGGAGAGGCTGTGGTATAGGCCAAGGTCAGCTACTCCTGGCTTGGGCTGACCGGTGGGAGCTACAAAGTGATCTGTGGTTTGTTGCTGCTTTTGCTAAACTTGGAGGTGTTTGGGAGAGGTTATGCTGTGAACCAAGACTGGTTGCCATTCTGGGCCTGGGACCCTTTAGTGGGCCCCAGAATGTAAGTTGAGGCCAGCTACCTTGTGCTGGGTTTTTGGCCACTTACTTGAGTTATATTCAGGCCAGCGCTGGGCACAGCTTATGTCAGGCTTGAGGCCACCTGATGGAAATTGCAATGTTTATTGAGACCAGTTACCCCTTATGCTGGGCTTGGGGCTGCTTCGTAAGAGGTGCAGGGCACACCAAGCCCAGCTGCTGCTTGTTTGGGGTTTGTGGGTCTTTGAGAGATCTTAGGAAAGTCCGCAGCGGAGCTGAAGAGGCTGCTCATGTAGAAAAGTCTCTGGAAGCAACTTGGGTCAGGTGTGTGTATATACTGTAGATGGCCTTATACGGCACTGCAGCTACTTAAAGTGACATTAGATATAAACTTACACTAAAAAATGAGAAACACATTAAATTGGAACTAATAAGTTTTAGAGATAAAATGAATTTTTGTCATTAACTAGTTGATCCAAGTTAATAGTTCATCTGCTTCTTTGCTTGAAAAAACTTTGTGTGTAATAGCTTAGAAAAGTGGTGACTTAATTTAAAAGGGTGCTTTATAAAAGCACTATTATATTTTACTTGGTTAATTTAATTTTTAAAAAACCTGCATTGTCAAACAAGTGACTATTGACATTTTTTGAGTGTTCAGATTTCAAAAGCCAATTTTTAACTTTTAATACATTGTTTAGATTTGACATATATTGTGAAAAATATTTCAAATGATAAGGTATTTTCCATATTTTATTTATATATAAACAAAATCAGTTTATTTTCTCATTGATATTTAAAAAAAAACGGTGAAAAATGCCTCACATTGTGCTTTTTTCTTTAGGTTCATTGTGGGGAAGGAAGAAATTCCCACACATTCTTATTCCCCAGAGACAGCATACGCAAAAGTGGAACAAAAGACAGAAAAACAGGAGGAAAAATCTAGAGGAATGAATATAATTGCCCTAGTCAGGAAGCTTGTGGATTCAATGTGAGTTCTTTATCTTGATATTTTAGCACAGTTTGTCTTGTTTTATATAATATTTGTACTGTGCAAAGGTATTTTTGTGTTTGTTTTTCAGGTGATGGTAATTTTTTTGCAGAATTTTGATGGCAACTGAATGTTATTAATATTTCTGGCACGACTATAGATAACTATATGCCTTTAAAATAGGTTACATGAAATTGAAATACTTTTCTATTGCAAACAAGACAGAATTGCAGGAGTCTAGAGTAGGGAACTTTAGGAATAATTAACATGTGCTAATCAAATGTGCCAAGTTTGGAAAGGAGAAAGAAAAGTCCTGAGAGAGATTCAAGAAGATGCAGGAATAATAAGGAGCAAGCCTTAAGTAAAGGATATTTTGCAAGAGTGGAAGTGTTTACAGCTTTGGAAAGAAAATAAATCTTTAATTGTATTTTTTACAAAGAAGTCTATATTTCATACAAATAAGCCTTGATTTGTATTTCAAGTGTAAATATTTAAGAAAATAAATTTAATGGTTTAAAATTAAATCAGCTGATTAAAATAATATTGGTAGTGATGTTTTAGAGAATATGACATGAGTGGGCAATATAGAAAGTCAGGGGGTCAGTTAAGGGAATCTGAGGCCCTTTAAGGAATTGGAAGACCTACGTTTGGCTCTTATTTTGCCCCTGCTGGCTGTATCCCAAAGTCCTCCTGGGTTAACCAGGGTTTATAATCTCTATTGAGGAGTGTTGTGTGCATTAAATGAAATAACATATGACTTGCCTCACATTCATGAGCACAAAGTAGGTGCTCAAAATGTTTACTGAATTTAAAGACTTTCTCTTCATTTTGGCATACACCACATACAGAAGCTAAGAGAACAAAAAGGAATAGTAAAAGGCAGGAATAATTATGGTAGTGATCTTATTAAGATCAAGAATTTGCTTAATAGCAAGTTCAAATAGTTATGGGTTACCTTAGTGGAGAAAAGGGGGAAGGAGTTTCTCTTAGTACATCATTTCAGCAGGAATCGTTTGGGAATGCAGAGAATGTATTCTGCGGGCGAGTGATGCCATGGGGTCAGAACTGATCAGGTCATGGCAGGACTTGTCTAGTAGCCTCAGGGAGTGCACTGGTATGAGAGCAGATGCAGATAATACAGAAGCAGAGCAGAAAATGCAGGGCCTGGGCAGACCAGAACTTAGGAAGCCATTGTAATGAAAGCATAAGGAAAGAGTAAATGACAGTGCAGTTGGTATCAGAATTTAACTGCACTAGCAAAGAGAGTTTAATAACTTCTGTTGTAGTTCTGGTAGCAAAGGCTGAGAAATGTCTTTGAGAGGACACTTAGCTGTGTGAAGAGTGATGGTTTACATAAGGCACCTCTTCTCTGATTCACGTCTTCTCAGGCCCCCAGCTTTAATCACTCAGCAACTTCACGTGACCAGATATGTTCTGTCATCCTAATGATACAAGGGCTGTGGTCCATGTGAACTATTGCTGTCACCCTTGAGTAGAAAAGGCTGCCTGTAGACTCCAGCCACAGAGCAGAATTGGATTTCAGAAAAAGTCTTGCTAATCAATTTGCACATGGAACTACAGATGTGTGGAGCCGGAATATCACTCTACAAGTAATTGTTATAAGCAGGAGTGAGTGTGTTTCAACCAAGAAGCTAATTTATTACCCACCATCGAAGAGTTATAAAAACTACTCTTCAAAGAGAAAGGGGGATAGCTAAACCCTCGTTAGATGTCCTCCTTACTTTTTTATGCCCAGAGTACATAAATGGTGCTGGAGTCAGCACACCAAAAAATCACAATGAGTGTGTCTTGAACAGTAGTCCTCCCAGCAGAAATGTTTATTAAGTACTCGAGGACTAAGTGCTTTACGGTTAAATCACAAATAACCTACTTTCAAATTCCCCCACGATCTATATCTATATTTATTTTAAAAACTGAATTTTGAATTCCAATACTGTATCATGTTTCTTTTCCAGATGTTTTCTCTCAAATATAATTAAGTATAAATTCCTGTAACTTGAACACATTCTCATTACGATTTTTGCTCAAGTGCTGACTTCATGGATGATTTATGGCCATTATATTCTACAACAAGTGATTTAAAGCTTCCAAAAGCTCTGGCAGAGTAAAGAGATATATATGCATATTTTTAATATTTAGTCACAGATATTTACCACTGTGGTTTTTCTGTTCCACATTAAAGTGTTTTGACTACAGTCACGTATTTTATACAATGTGTCAAATGGTGAGCAGCAAAGGAAAAGAATCTGTTATCTTTGCTTCTGTGTGTCCTAAGAAACCAAAAGATGCACACATTTAGAAACAAGTAGGTAATGATTTCTGCTTTTTTGGTTAGAGAGGTTTATGCAGATCTACACACATTTTAATTATAATTAGTGTTTTGCTTTAATTTCAGATGTAAGCATGGACCAAGGCATAGATGTTGCAAACACTATGAAGATAATTGCATCTCTTATTGCATTAAAGTAAGTACATAAAAGTATCTTCTTTATTAAATAAACCAATTTCTATATTTCTAAATTAAATGTAGACATAACTTATTTATTAAAATATAATTTCAAAGTAAATTGAAAAGTTGACAATAATTCCTTTCATTCTTTACATTTGACTTGAAAAATAAGAATTTTGTGATATATAGTAACAATTTAGCTTAATATTCACTTACCAGATCTTTAGTTAAATAATTTTAAAATTTGCTTATTTAAAAATTAGTGTAAAACTTACAAAGTAGAAGACAGGGTGAAACAACACAACAAAAAAGACAAGGCCCCTGGACTGTGCTGTGTGCTGGCAGATCAGCAGTCACTCACACACACTGCAGAGTCTGGTACAGTAGCGTTTGATTTTGGACTTGTAAAGCTGCTACATTTTTTTAGGCATGGAGTAACTAGAGCATGTCCACAGTTGCTCTGCATTAAGCAAGTTAGCTGTGCCCACTGGCATACATTCCTTGCTCCCTAATATATTAGTGTACCAGTGTGACTCTCCCTACCCACCCCCATCACCACCCGCTCTGGGAAGGAAGTTGTTTTCCTTACACTTAGTCTGGCACAGATGGCACCACCTGCTGCTACAAGTTCTCCAGTTTTGGATCGTACTCTAACAATTCTGATGCTTTAAAAAGTTTATGATCTTTCTCACAACATCTGATCCGCACTCAGTTGCCGATAAGGGCAGAGTTGTACAGCATCCCCAAAGACAGCCTCCTGACGGTCACTCGAGAAGGGAGGGACTGTGTCACATTAGTGCTTCTGAATGCGTGCCTGTGGCCCAGTGCTGATAGCGGCGTTAGCCCAAGCCAATACCTTACCCTTGGGGTCCCCAAAGGCATGACCAGGTGTAAGAGCGGTGGAGTATTTTTTCAGTTGTGCAATGGTTTTTGACACACTCCTTCCAAATCTGATTTCCAGCTGCACTTTTAAAATGGCAAAAAGAACAAAAAACATCATTGCTGGCAGCGTCAGAGTCTGCCCCTCTGCCATTCCCAGAGTTATTCTTCCCTCCAACTGGACATCACTCTTTTTCAAGGGGAGACCTCAGGAGAGAAACCAAGAGAAGCATCTGATTAAATCAGAAGTACTTGAGAAAGTTTGGGAAGAGGAGGGTAATATTGAAATTACATGAGAAAATTAATGAGCATTGCTAAGCAATGAAAAAAAATGTAGTCTTTCTTTCTAATGAGTACCACTCCTATAAACTTGGTAATTTATGTATAAATTGGAGTATTTTGTCTATGAATATAAAATTTTGAGACCTGTGGACAAGGAATTTACTACACAAATAGGGTAAAATATTTTGACAGTGCACCTCATGATCCCAAAGACTCCGTTACACCACATGTTAAATCATATCCCTGGGTAAATAATCAAATGATTACATTCCTCTCAGCTCACTATACTCCATTCACAATAACTTTTGACTGCTTTCTCATACCCAATCTCATTTTTGGCTTTGTGCTTTCTGTCTAAGCTACCTGAAATGCTTTTCTCATGTTAGCTCCTCCTCTTTTGTGTCTACTTAAATGTCACATCCTCGGTAGCCTTCCCTTACCAGTCAATCCTAGTGCCCTACTTCCCAGAACACTTACTGCAATCTGTAATTATTGTTGTTTTATAAACTTCCTTACTTATTTTCTCTTCCTCTAATGAGCATGAAAGCCTCAATGAAGGCAAGAACTTTGTATCTTCTTCGCTTTTCCCCCAGCATCTAGTGTAATGCTTGGCACATAAGAGGCATCAGTGAATATCTTTTGAATACATAGAAGGGTGAATGGATGGAGGAATGAATGGCCTCTTGAAAACCGGGTGAAAAGACTGAACATGAGTGTGATCCTTGAATCTTTAGATTAATATTATAAGGTTATCAAAGATAGAAGTGTGAACATTTCATGCTTCAAACTAATACTAGGCAGTTTCAGTTAAGCAAATGCTTAATAATTTATACTAATTGATTGGACAATTTAATTTCCATTTTTTAACCAGGTATTAAATAGTTTCAGGTAAATTAACGAATGTTTCTTCATAGTAAATTTTTTTTTTTTTTCTAAAAAAGAAGGCTGTTATCTGGAAGATACAGACCTGACCTCTGGCACTTAGCAGCCAAGCACTGCTAAGAGTGTAGACATTTTCCCATTTCACTGGGGCGAGAGGAGAATGGGAGTCCAGTATTAAAATGTATTGGTTGAATCATGTATAAAATACTACTCTTTTTGATAACTTTTGTTTGTGCTAATTGGCATTTTTTAGCCTATCAGTGTTAAATGACATCTAAACTTCATTTTCCTAAACACTGAAATAAAATTGACCAACACTAGGCCTCTCTCTGTTCCCTTTTGCACTGCAGAAATAGTTGCAGATAATATGAAGGAATGTTGGAAGCAAATATGGATTTGTAGCAGATTTGCTTTTTCCAGTTGGGTTGAGTATACCTCAAAGCTACCATTCTCTAGAGATGTTTGAGCAGAAATATAAACCTAGATATAATTACTTATTTTTCTAGGAAAGTCTTTTAACCCGATCATTTAAAAAGTTGATACCAAAGGTCTAGATAAATAATAAAATTCTCTTTCTGTCAAAAGAATCCCTGCTCATACTGATGAGTAAGGAGTTGCCAAAAGGATTTGGTTTTGTTAACTTCTTTTTATTTCAATGCTTTTGTTTCTAAAATTTTGACGTGGTTTAGGAATTACGAATCCTGATTATTATAAACAAAATGTCAATTTTGGTGCATAGACAAGCTTGGCCAGGTGCTTGCGAAACTTTTTTCTTTGTAAATCAAAGAAAGTCTACTTTCTGCAGGTTTTGCCCTTATTTTGAAGGTAATTGTTTTAAAATTGAGGTTTTAACATTTAATTTTGAAAATGGCTGTGAAATATACTTGTGTTAATTTTTTGGAATCCTGTTTTATTCTGAGACAGTGAAATTCAAATCTATCAGACTTCAAAACTTGGTGGTAAATGAGAATTTCCTCCCAATTTTCTCCAGGGTTTCATCAGGATGTTTAGCGTGGGGTACTTGATCCAGTGCTGCCTCCGAGTCCCCTCTGCGTTCAGGCATCTGTTTACAAAGCCCTCACGGCTGCTTTCTCTCTTCTACAATAAAGAAAACTTTCAGCTTGGAGCTTTTCTGGGCTCTTTTGTTAGTATATACAAGGTAAGGCTTTCAGAAGAGAAAGGAAAAATGGGAAATAAGTAACATGGCTATTGTTAGTATGTGCTCTGTGTCCTTAACTCATCTATCATTTTTTAAAATGCTTCTTTTCGTAATATTCACAGATGTATATAATATATTGGAAATTAAGGTTGGAGAAATTTCTTATTTTAAAATGTTATTTAATATGCTTGAAAGTACATACTTACTTGGCATTTATACATAATATTAAAGATGTTCAGACTCACATACTTTTTTTCCAATAACGGAGACACTGAGAAAATACAAACTTTCTCACATTTCTAATATAAGAAAATGACATTAATATGCTTGGTCTATTTGTTTAAAATTATTTTTAATGCCTGGTTTTAATTTAAACATATTTCAGACACTCCTAACTGATGACAACACTTAATAGAATCAGTATGATTTTCTGTTGTAACATACATATAGGCAATGACTTATTTTTCTTTTCCACTCACTATTCCTACTACACTCTCTTACACCCCTTTTTTGCATGTTCCTATAAATGTACCCATACATATATAAGCACATTCCTAAACACATATTAACGATACAGTACTCTACAACTTTAAATAATGGCCTTTTGTTTAATGAGAATTACTAATATGTAAATAATATTTCTGGCACATTATTAAGCAGCTAACATTTAGATTCTAAATCTAAATATAGATTCTAAATAAATGTGATAACTAAGGTCAATCTGTATGCATACACCTGCAAACACATGTTAAACTCAAAATTATTTCTGGAAAAATGGAATTCTGGCATTATTTTGGGTAAGAAGGCTATGTACAAATTTACTTATAAAAGCTAGATACTCACATTCTTTTTCATTTCTAATTCTAGTGTTTGTATTTATTCTTAATATAAACTTTTAAGTGCTTACAGGTGGACTATCCAACACTTTTTGCTCACGTAGGTTATTCTCTACCATCTAGCATATCTCAGAGCATGTTTTTTTTTTTTTAAAATTTCTGTTACTATTTATTTGCTTAGGTAATACAAACTAATGATATTAAACTAAGGAAAATACAAGTGGGTCAGAAAACCTCTTAATAGAAAATATCCCTACAGTGTGTTCCAAAGCTGTATGTAATTTAAAAAATATATATTATCAGTGCCTTTAGAATCTTCATAAGAATGTCATCAGGAGAAAGACAAACCAGCTTATTTCTTCTGTGTCTTCTTGGTGAAGTGACCGTTTCTCCATTTTGCAATGTTCCTTTTTATCCCTGTGATATCCCTGTTCTGAAGTCTACTTTGATAGTAATATAACTACTCCAACTTTCTTCTGATTATATTTGATAGTGTACTGTTTCTATCTTTTTATTTGAATTTTTCTGTCTTTAGTTTAAAGGTTGGTTTTTTTTTAGACTGCAAATAGTTGGTTCTTTTTTATCCAATTTGATAATCTCTATCTTTTAACTGATGAGTTTAGACTGTTTATACCTAATGTATTTATTTGTTATGGTTGAGTTAAACTTATCTTCTTGCCAGTTGTTTTGAATTTGTTCCATATTTTATTTTGTTCATCTTTCTGTTTTTTCTTTTTCTGTCTTCTGGATTTTTTAAAATATTTTTTAATTTTTTAAATTAATTTTAATAGCTTTATGTATTCTATCTGTACTGTAGGCTTATTATTTATACCTCTTTTTAAAATTTAGTAATTGCCTTAACATTTATAATAAACATTTTCGTATAATATTATACCACTTCATTATAGTGTAGGAATCTTACAACACCATAATTCTAATTTTTCCTTTCCATTTTTTTTTGTGCTACACTTTTATCTTTTCATATGTTATAAACACCACAACACAATGTTACTATTTTTGTTTTGCATAAGGAGTCAGAAGACTTTTTCTGTAAAGGGCCAGATAGTAAATATTTTTAAAAAAATATATTTTTATTGATTTCAGAGAGGAAGGGAGAGGGACAGAGAGACAGAAACATCAATGATGAGAGAGAATCACCAATTGGCTTCATCCTGCACACCCCCAACTGGGGGCCAAACCCACAACCCGGGCACATGCCCCTGACTGGAACCGAACCTGGGACCCCTCAGTCAGCAGGCCGACGCTCCGTCCACTAAGCCAAACCAGCCAGGGCCAGATAGTAAATATTTTAAACTTTGTGGACTACGTATATGGTCTCTGTCACGACTACTCAACTGTCTGTTGTATGGAAGCAGCCAAAGATAATACCTAAATGAATGAGCATGGCAGTATTCCAATACAACTATTATCACATTGTAATTAGAATTTTATATAATTTTCACATGTCGCAATATATTATTTTTGTATTTATTTTTATCCATTTAGAAGTATAAAAGACAATCTTAGCTCATGAACCATATAAAAGCAAATGGCAGAGCAGATTTAGCTAGTGAGCCGTACATAGTTTTCTGACCTCTGCTTTAGACAGTTAATTCAGTTTTACAACAGTTGAACATTTGCATTCATTTTACCATTTCAGGAGCTCTTCATTTCTTTTTGCAGATCTAATTTTTTTATCTGGTATCAGATTCCTTCTGCACGCAGAACTACCTCGGTAACATTTCTGGTAGTGCAGTTCTGCAGGTGATAATTTTTTTCAGCTTCTGTCTGTCCGAGAAAGTCTTTTTTCACCTTCAGACTGAAAAAATGTCACTTCTGGGTATAGAATTCTGTCTTGACAGATTTGTAGTTTATCCAGCTTTCTCTCCTTGTTAGAGTGGGATTGATACTTTTCCTCAGTATTCTGCATGTAGACCAAAGTAGAATCTACATGCATTTTTTTTTCTAGAAATGAAACAACTGAAGTCACTGTATTTTCTTTTTGACACAGGGTACTAGTTGCTTCCTGCGCTGGGTCAGAAACCTGGATGATGAACTGCATGCTATTATAGCTGGTAAAGCAATGATTAAAAAAGAATCATTATTGTATCAATCAGTAGTAGAAATGAATCAGGACTAGTTTCCAAATTTATCTTATCTCTTTGTATGTCTTTTCTCTTTAATAGAATCCCTGTTGAGGCATTAGTCTAAACATTTTGTATTTGTGAAGTTTAACTATCAAGGCACTCTTGCCATCTGGTGTTTTGAGTTGACAATATATCTGCCCTCCTCCAGGCCAGAAATCCTAGGGAATGTGTCACAAAAGAACATGCACTCTTAAAATATTATAGAAGTGACTATGGTACTATTTTAAATGAAATTAGATTTCTTAAATTATTCTGTTTTTACCAATGGTAAGTGACATATTTTAATAATTTTTATTATTTCTTAGGCATGTAAATAATTTTCTAAAAACTAAAGAAAATTTTCTACAAGTGTATTATATGTACTATTTAAGTTGAGTAGACAATTTTTTCAGGCATTTATTGGTAATTTTCCTATTATTAGAATCTCGGGTCTCCTCCCACCTTGGTTTTCCATTTATAAAATGAAGACAGTAATATGGAAAGAAGTGTGATGATAGCACTAAAAATAATTTGAGCTGTTAGGAGAACAGATGAGTAATTATTTTCACTTACAATTAGAAATAATACCAATAGCCTTTAAAAATTATTTTTGAAAATTATTATGTTTGGTAAAATCACCACTGTTTTAAAGTTAAATTTAGAATGTGAAGTTTCTTGTAATATATGTATCAGAACTGTGTGTCGCTAACTCTGAGGTCAATTTCTTAATTTAAAAATATATGATAATAAGAACTTACCCATTTTAATGTTATTAAGTATATTACTGCCTTTGATTTTGATGTAACAAGAGGCAGTGCCATAGATCAATTTTTTTCCTACTTAAGCGAATTTAAATTTCCAAATGACTTAATAACAGATACTTCAAGGTCTGATGAGTTTTGCCTTATTTGTTTCAGGGTTTTTGGCAGGAGTATCAATGATGTTTTATAAAAGCACAACAATTTCCATGTATTTAGCTTCGAAATTGGTGGAGGTAAGCAAACATTTTTATCCATGTATAGTACCAAATTATATATAGCTGTTAAGCTGCTTTAGCAACAAATATATATCCTAATTTTTTAAAGCAAATTCTAATCCTATAAAAGAATATACAAAGTCAATTGCTTTATTTACTCTTCTTTCTTTGTATTATTTTTAAATATACACAAATGGAGAAAGAATAATGTAATTAACCCTCATGCACCCATTACACAGCTTCAGCATTAAAGCATTTGGCCAATCTCATTTCATCTACCCACCCCAACCTCTCAGGTACTGATTTATCATTTTTATTTTTAATAATGTTTTGTTGATTTTTATTTTTATTTATTTATTTTTTTTAGAGAGAGAGGAAGGGAGAGAGAGAAAAAGAGTGAGAAACACAGATGTGAAAGAGACACATTGATCAGCTGCCTCCTGCACACCCCCTACTGGGGATTGGGCCCACAACCCAGGCATGTGCCCCCACTGGGATTCAAACCGGTGATCTTTTAGTGCATGGGATGATGCTCAGTCAACTGAGCCACATTGGCCAGGGCAAGTACTGATTTATTTTAAACCAAATCCAGAATCACTTTGTCCATAAGCAACTCAGGATAAAGACTCCTGAAAGAATAGGCCAATGGATAAGAACTCCTTAAAAATAAGTAAATCAACAATATCACCAAAATATAGCCAGTGCAGTCCGTGCAATTGGAAGCCATTGGAGTTTAAAGCATGCAAATAATATTATTTAATTCATATTTTTAAGGAGAACACTCTGGCTGTTATATAGAAAATGGGTTAGAGACAAGACTGGAAGCTGGGGAAATAAGACAGGAGATGCTGGTTTGTGTAGTAACAGAAAAGATTGAGCGAAGTACACAGATTTAGCACGTTTAGGAAGTAGAGTTGACAAGTCTTGCTAATGGAGAGGAAAAGGGGAATGAGAGAGAAAAAATAACCCCTAGCTAGCAAAATATGTTCTTTGACACTGAGGGAATCCATTATTGACACCTAGTTTGTAAAAGGTGTGTTTCACTAGTACAGCCGCTAACCTGAGTGGCTAGAGCAGCGGTTCTCAACCTGTGGGTCACGACCCCTTTGGCGGTCGAACGACCCTTTCACAGGGGTCGCCTAAGATCATCCTGCATATCAGATATTTACATTATGATTCATAACAATAGCAAAATTACAGTTATGAAGTAGCAACGAAAATAATTTTTTGGTTGGGGTCACAACATGAGGAACTGTATTTAAAGGGCCAGAAGGTTGAGAACCACTGGGCTAGAGGTTTTTTAAGCCAAGCTCTTTGTCTCGTATCAGCAGCTCATATTTGATCTTGGCCAAAGAAGCTGGAATATACAGTGTGCTTCTGAGAGCTCTTTCAAATATAGGAAATTAGCAATTTAAACTTACCAGGTCCTTTGTTGGATTTACTTACTATGGTGTAATAGGTGATTGTTTCCCTATGATTGGAGTTAATTTTATATTAAAGTGCTGTATTACTATATAATAAATATTAAATAAAAATCGGTTGTATAAGCAACTTTTTTTCTTGGAAAAAAGTATTTCCAAGATATATTTATTGAGTATCTATTATGTTCCCATTGCTGTGCTATGTGCTGTTAAGCATATAGAAATGTAGGATATGGTTCCTCCCTTCATCAACTTAGAATCTAGTTCAATAGATAGGTTTTATCATAAGAAATTAGGAACACAATTATTCCATATATCAAAAGATACCTGTTTCATATAACATATCTATGATGCCATTTTACCACATCTGAATTTCATTTTCATCACTGGGAATATACTGCAATGTGTCTGTACCTTGTAAATGTATTGTCATATTACTTTCAAAATAATGGTCAATGTTTATCTTGATTCCTAACTAGATCGCTCTACTTAGGATTTTAAGTAGATTGTAATTCTTTGCACATATCTTGCAGATTAAAGTTAATTGTATATTAAAATGCTGTATATTTAAATGAAAATTAAAATGCTTATTAAAATGAATATTAATTAAAAGTCAGCTATACAGATCACTTTTTTCATGGAAAAAATTATCTTAGGTTCTTTATTTTATGAACCACTCATATCTTCTTGAACATCCCTCCACCCTTTTATAACATCATTCTCTTTTAAACTAGTTTTACTTTATTATTCCCATGTTCTAGAAAACCAGTTTCCATGAATTATTCTGTGTTCTGTCCATATAAGTTAGCTTTCTGTTCCCCATATATATTGTGTACTTGCACCTGCTTGTTAGCCCTGCTTTTTCTCTCTTATCTAGTTGTTGATCCTATGCCTCTTATAATTCAACACTATTAAAACTAGGGGCATAGACCAGTACTAGTCCATGAACTGTTTCCAGTGATGACAGGATAAATAGAGACATTGAGAGTCAGAAATTGGACCCTTTTGTAACCACTTGACAGAGTAATTATCTTTTGAATATAATAGTGAAAATTCAGTTCAATTTTGTGTGTTTTAAATTTGTCTTTCTAGTAATTTGTTTTTGTTGTATTATAAAAGTATCAATTCATAACAACTGGACATATTTTAAAGTTTTTGGCTTGTTTGTTTGTTTTTATGCAGATGGTTTGAGAAGCACTACTCAAATGTAGTCATTTCTGAAATTCTCCATGGTCCTAGACAGACTAGTTGCTTTCTCCTCTGGGGAGCCAAAATATATTTATTTATTATTAATTTATATGCACAGACACATATCTAATGAGGCTATATGATATCTATATATACCTGTGTAGCTATCTTACAGCCTCAGTAGAGTGCATTAATAATTTCTGTTATATACTAACCATTTTTATTCATTTTCAGACCCTAGCTCCTAGCATAGTGTCCAGCATATAGTTAAATAAACACCATTAAATATTTAATGCATGAATGAATAGATATAAGAGGGAATGGAGGACCTGAGCATTTTGCAAAAGCATTGAAGAGTAAATGATGTAAAAGAGGTAGAAGTAAAGTGACATAGAATTTTACAGAAAAGTATTATTGTTGGTACCTGGGGTTTAGGGTAAGAAAATGAGGGCATGGGGGGGAAGGCTAACACTTAATGCTGTTGTGGAAGATGTGACCTATTATTTGAGCCTCGAAAGAATTGTTAGGATTTTGAAAATTTAGAAAAAGACTTAGATAGGAAGCATATTGCTCAACTACATTGTTAATGCTATTTAAAGTTGTTTTCTTTATAAGTCTTGCATTATGCTTGTTTTGCAGACAATGTATTTCAAAGGCATTGAAGCAGGCAAAGTTCCCTATTTCCCCCATGCAGATACTATCATCTATTCCATCTCTACAGCAATTTGCTTCCAGGCAGTAAGTATAGCTTTTTGAAATGAGAAAATAGAATTATTTCTCTTTTTAATGTTCATTGAACCAATGGGGGGAAAATAAAGGCCTAGGAACATTTTTATTTATTACATTTTATGATTTTTTTGTTTTTTAGCAAGATAGCTTGCAAGTTTCAAATCATTAAACATATTAACTTAATGGACCAGTTCCTGTTATGAGCACAATTTTTAGGTTTAAATAGAGTGCAATTTTTATAGGTAAATTATTACTTTAGTACCTTGGCTAGAATGGCCCAATTTAATTACACTTCTTTTAGAAAAAAGATACCGTAGTCATAAATAAGAATAATTGCATTTCTACAATATTACTCAGGCAGTGAGGATAAGGGTAAAAATCTTGCTTAATAGAGGCATTGTTCAATCTCTTTAAATCCTATAATCATCATTATTGATGTTAATGGTTTTAGGGCTGTTGGAAAATTTTGGGGACAGCTTTTATTTGCACTTTGAGCACAATTACTTATAACTAGTGAAGTGCCAGCTACCTAATGGGTATTCAGTAAATGCTTCCTGATAATACTGACTTAATTAACTCAATGATTATTTCCCAAGCAATATTTTCAAAGACGATAGTTATCAACTTAAACATAAATACATGTTTTTTATTATGGTCATCACTGTCATTTTTAAAACACAATGAGCAATAAAAATAGAGGTAAACTACTCTGTGGCCTAACACTGCTGATAATCTTTGCCATTTACTGAAGGAAGTCTAATACCGAATACTCTCATCTTAGGCCGTCATGGAAGTTCAGAATCTGCGACCGTCTTACTGGAAGTTCCTTTTAAGGCTCACCAAGGGCAGGTAAGTGACGGAGATGTTTTAACTGATCATAGAAACAAAGTAAGATTTTTTTTTTTCATAAGAAAGATCTTGAATCTTTTGGTCTCTTTACAGGAATATTCTTTTATTCGTAAAGTAAGATATCTAGATATAAATAAAATATGACCAACTTAATAAGAATAACATGGGGCATTCTTTTAATGAACATTATTTTGATTACTTTCCCCTATATTATTTTAGATATTTTAAGTGTTGTAGATTAATATCATGTTGATTTGCAAATTAGTTGCTACATAACATACTTAAGTCTCACTTTTAAAATGTGTGATCTCTTCTTTTTGATTAAAAATATTAAACAGCTTCATAAGAAATGATGCCTAAACAATGAACTGATTTCTATTTTGGAAAAACAATGGCATTCTTTTCCCTAATAGTGTAACCATACCGTCCTTTATCTTTATTATCTTACTAGAGGCCTGACGCATAAAATTAGTGCAAGAGTAGGCCTTCCTTCCCCCGGCTGCCGGCACCGGCTTCCCTCTGGCACCCGGGACCTGGGCTTCCCTCTGGCTGCTGGCAGGCAACTGGGACATGGGCTTCCCTCGCAGCCCTAGCTTCGTCCAGAGGGACGTCCGGTCTAATTTGCATATTATGCTTTTATTATTATAGATTCTATATTGTCTTTGTTAGCATTTCCTTATCTTAATCTGATTCTTTGGGAGGCAGCTTGACCTCCTAGAAAGACCATGGGCATTGGAGTCGGATAGGCCTAGGTTTGTCAGCTCCGATTCCTTTAGTTGTGTCGCTGGTGGGAAAGTTGTTTACTCTCATGAGCCTCAGTTTTTTTCTTTCAACCATGAAGCAATAATACATACTTTGTAAGGTTGTAGGAAAATCTAGATGTTGATAGTAGCACTTAGCACTTAATAGATACTCAGTAAATTGTTGCTGCTATTAATGTTACCACCATTAGTAGTAATAATAGAAAACAGTTGTATAGTGCTTATTATGTCCCAGATATGGTTTTAAGATACACACATATGTACACATACAGCTTCCATATCCATACATGTGTGTTTCACCCTTAAAGTAACTATGAGGTAGGTACTGAAATCACCCTGATTTTACATATCTGAGATGCACAGAGATGTTAATAGCTTTCCAGAGTCACATAGCTAGTAAGTGACGGGCCTGTGATACGAGCCCGGCAGTCTGGCTTTAGACTTCCCTTTAGCTTAGAATAATGATGCTGGCTAATGACTTAAAGCGAATTTCCCTGCTCTCTTCTCCAGAAGGAAGTGCTTTGGACAGGCCCGGCGACTCAGGGTCCTTCCAGCACAGCAGCTAGATCTGTGTCTTTTAAAAACTTTGAATCTCTTAGGTTAGGGGACGGATAAAATGAGGGTGTGCTTTAACTCTGTTGAGCCTATTAGACTTTTGAAAACCTATGTGCTGATTATCTTTTAATTATTAAATATTTGCTCATTTGGATGTGTTTTCTGTTGTTGTGAGACATTAAAATCACTTATGAGAGAAATTACATTTAATAACGTTGCCTCGGTAAATGTTAGCCTATTCGTTGTTTATTTAGTTTCTTGTGATTTCATCCATCAGAAAAATGGTCCTGAATGTATTTTTCTGTTGACATTATCTATTAGAAAGGGTTTGAAAGAATGATGGTAATCTCTGGGGTTTCCAGCCTGGGGATTAGTATCTCCTTAAAGAAAATATGGACAGTGCACCTTGAGGAAGAGTATCAGAGAGTCTACCAGTGAGTCTTTTGCCATGTCAGCCTTTTCTCTTTTTTCATCTCATAAGTCAGGTAGAGTGAATCATCTCATTTTATAAACTCATTAAATACTTGTTTACTGTATTCTCTGTCTTACAGATTTGCTGTCATGAACCGAAAAGTCCTTGATGTTTTTGGTACTGGTGCATCTAAACACTTTCAGGATTTTATCCCTAGGTTGGATCCAAGATACACGACTGTAACGCCAGAGTTGCCCATCGAGTTTTCTTGAAGATGGCTGTAATTTATTCATTGTGTCTTAACGTTCCATTATTTTATCCTGAAGAGTTAATTATGTTGAACAAAAAGAAGGGGGCCTGAGCTTGAATTTCAGTGTTATTTCAATGAGAGATGCTCTGTTTTGTTTGTTTTTCTTACCAATCAGAAATACAGAAGCTTTTTAGGAAAGTGTTGCTTAATAATTAAGCTCCCTCTGTAGCCAGAATCTGATTCTAGATCACTATAGTGGTTGACATTATGATATATTATTGATTAAATTATGTCAACAAGCAATATTAAATAATCTATGTAAAAAATAAGATATACTTAAAATTACTTTAAACGATGATTTTAGTTCATTCCAGGATAATTCTTGGTTAAAACTGAGAATATTTCTACATTTTAGGATACAAGGCTCATGGGTACATGGATTTGGTCTGTACGTTTTTGGAACTTTTGACTTGGTGACTTGAGTAGTGAAATGCTATGGGTATGAAGCGACTCTTCACAGACAATGCTGCTTTAGTGTAGAGCGATTTAAGTGGCCATCCTTACTGCAGGGATTCAGAGGCGGGTCTCTTACTGTCTGGATAAATGCCGTGGCATCCACACTCTTCTTCCACGGGCACCCTCATCTCTCTCCATGGTCAGCCGGGCTGTTTTGCAGCCCAGAGAACCCATGTGCTGATGGCAGATTAGGTACAAATGGAAGTTGACATAACTGATAAAATTGAAATGTATGTTTTAATCTTTTGCAGAAATATTACACTTGAATATTTAAAAGCAAGTGAAATTACTTTGAAACCTCCTGTAGGTTTGTTATGCTTGCTTTCATTTATAAGGACTGAATTTTTCATAGCTAAATCTGTATGCCATTGTCGACTTAGAAGGGATCAGCATTCTCTGAAACAGAAATAGTTTGGGCAGGTTTGGCAGTTTTGTTTCCTCTCAGCTCTTTCACCTACACAGTGGATGTTTTACAACTAAAAAGTGTAAAAATCCAGTGGTTGTTCAAGAGTTCACTATGTCACGAATGGCCTTCAGGTTCTCTAGCCTCTTTTCAAAAAAACCGTTGTCACCATTTTTACTCCTGTTAGAATAAAGAAGTGACAGGATCCGTCACCGCTGATTTTGAGTTAGTTCAAGACAGATGTGATTGAAAAAGCATCACTCTTAGGGTTTTTCAGAGGCTCAAGTGGTTGTGATGTCTACAGTTAATATAGGGGTGATGGTATATTTTTAAATATAATTTTGTTGCCAAAAAGTTTTAAGCCATTGTAAATTAATTATGCAGTGGGACTTGTGTCGCAACAAGAATTATAACCCAGAATTTAAAAATGCTTAATCCTCCATATTCAATTTCATCAAGCCTTGTACACTTCTGTTTACATGTAATCCTACCCTTGGTTGTTATGGAAAATTGAAACCCAACAGCAAGACAGACTCTGGTGCCATGGTAACAGAGAGCGACTCTTTAATTTGGGCAAAATTTTGCATTATGGTTAACTTTTTAGAATTGATTTGTCTCTTAGGCAGTACTGTTTAAAAGATCATTTTGGTTTCAGACTTCAAAATTGATTAATAAATTAAGTTTTAAGTTTTTATTCACTGGAATCAAAATGGTGATTAGTACTGGGTTTACTTGTAAAATGGAGCATGACAGCAGGGGAGAAAGCTCTGCTGCCGGTACCTCATTTTCTCCATTTAGAAACTGTCTGTAACATCTTTCTGCTGGTTTAAAGAAAAGACATTTTCATCCATAAGTTGTTTTTACTGACATTAAAAGGCTATGATATTGGAAGACAAATTCTACTGAACTATGATGGGGTTGGTGAAATTTTACTGGTTTAAAAGGTGCGTTTTTATGATTTACTTTTTTATTTCTTTTTTTTTTACACATGACAGTGATTTTTTATTTTATATAAAATGTGAAATGAAATAACCATCATGAACCAGAGTACAATAGTGAATGTACAGCTTGAATGATTACTTAACTGATTTGCACTGGTGAATAGAGAAGGCGGGTTTGACTTGATTGGGACTGACTGCGAAGTGGAGTTGTTTGAGCAAACACACAGAAAGTATTTTTGCGTTCCTGAAGACAATCAAAATGAATCTCTCTCTACCTCTAACTAATCAGGTATTGACTGACAACTTGGCATCATAAATAAAGGCAAATATATGTCTCCATTCCAAAAATATGTTTCTACTCCATTTATACGCTGAATAGATTTTGCGTATGGTAACTTCCCACCAGAACTGATTATATTAAATATTAATATGCCCCTTACATTTCTTACATCTTTATGTCAATTGAAAAACAGTGCATTGTAGTAATTAGTAGTTTTATGGTTGTTTCATTGCCATTTCCTGTATTAATAAAATCCTAGAGTTAGTACCAGCCAACTACAGACTGAACTTATAAGATAACAAATGGTCTCAAATCTGTTGGATTCCTACCAGTTTTTCATCAGATAGTTTAATTCCATTTTATTACTCATTTCTGCAATAAAACATTTGGTTCAGTTATCTTTTTTATAAATTCCATGTTTACTTCAATAATTTTTTTCTTGATCTCTAAATATTGTCACTCAGCTGATACTGAGTTTATTTCTTGCCTTCATTTGTTGTTTAGTCGATTGTTATTAATTTAAAATTTTATTCTTTGCTCTCAGATTTTACAATTTACTTTTTTCTAGAATGAACATGTCTTTTGTGATAAAACCCAAATTGGTTCATTGTCACGCAGTGTTTTCTTGTTGAGCTTGAGTATCGTCTCCTTGTGGATAGGCTAACGTTTGATTTAGTTGTTTATGCTGACAAAATTCCTTCTGCGTGTATTTCACCACATCCCTGAGTTTCTGAGCCCTCTGCCAACTCATAGTTAATGGGAATTAGTTTCCCTGACCCTTGGGGAGCTTCATCGCTTGCTCACGTGGCATCCTCCTGTGGTGGCGTCCTCCAGGCAGGGCAGAGGGTGCGCGTCCCCAGGGAGCAGTGCCCCGTGTTCTTGCTGCCTTTGAATCTGAGAAGCCACCAAGTTCAGAGTCCTTGAATGCTCCCTGTGATTTATTTCCATTTGTGTAAGTAGAAAGTAGTTTGACAGGGCAACAAAATCATACTTACATGGATGGCGTTTTGTTCCATGAAGGCAAAAGTGTCCATTCCTGAACTGTGACCTTGCTAAGATACCTGATGAACTTTATCTCCCCCGGCACCTTGAACTGCTGCTGATTGTCTCCTCCATATTCATTTTCAGATAGAGAATTTTAACTGAAAATGAGTGACCAAGAAAAAACAAACAGTGAAAGTATAAGAAATGAATATTGTTTATATACATATATATTTCAGAGGGGAAGGGAGAGGGAGAGAGTGATAGAAGCACCCATGATGAGAGAGAATCATTCATTGGCTGCTTCCTGCACGCCCCCTACTGGGGATCGAACCGGAAACCCGGGCATGTGCCCTGACTGGGAATCAAACTGGAACCTCCTGGCTCAAACACTGAGCCACAGCAGCCAGGCGAAATGAATTTTTGTTTTTTGGTAGGACTGGGCAGAAACCGAGAAGTAAGTAGGGTTAGCTTAATTGCGGATGCCAGGAGCCTGTTCGTATAGTTACCTCAGCCCTGTGCCTTCCTCTTCATAGCCTTGTCCTGTTGATGCCTTAGCTAGCTTTGCAGATCCTTCTTGTGGAATCAGCAAGGAAAGGGGTGTCAGGGACTGAGGTGACCTGAGATCAGAAGGCCGGGCTTGGATCCTGGGGCCCTGTGGTACTTCCCTCAGCTGGCATTGGCGGACCTCAGGGTGGAGGCTGTGTTTCTGTTTCAAGCTATGCTCTCAGGCGACTGTAATAGCTCTGTAGTGTGAAAGGGTAACTACAAAGACATGTGACGGACAGTGATGGGTGGCCTCTGGAAGCGGAAGGGCGGGAGCCTGGCCATGATGTGGCGTGTGTCCTCGGGCTGCCGCGAGGGGAATAGGAATGTGTGCTGTTTCGCACTGAGTGAGAAGCAAGTGGCTTTATTGGAGGAAAGCATATCTGGTAACCGTTTTCTTGCTCTCTGATGTGGCAGCTCTCTCTCCTCCGCCCCCGTGCCCCAGCTCGCTCCTCTCCTCTTTCCCGGCCTTGGAATCTTTATGTCTGACCACTTGTTGCCCTTCCCCACTCCTCATCCCACTTCTTCGTGCCTTTCTTCTGTGGGCTGCTGTGACAGCCTGCAGCTCACATCCTGAAGGAGAGTGCTCTATCGCTTCCTTCGGTGACAGCTGGGGTGTGTGTGGGAGGGCGGGGGAGGGGAGGGTTCTGAAGGAAACATCTCCAGGTTCAGAGACTTTTGATGGAACTGCATTTCTTAGGCAGGAAGGGATGGAGGATAACTGCAGATTATGCATACAGATGTGGAAGGATGTTCCTCTGTACGCGGGCCCTTTAAATCCAGGACAGTCAGTCACTTCTCAGCAGCCCCATAGCATCACCTGAGTCTTGCTGTGGTTACAGGGAAGGGACGGAACTCCTTTGCTATTTCCTACTGCTTCCTCCATTATTTTCCCTAAGTGAAATCATATATTGGGCTTTATCCTTGCAAACCTGAGAATCCCAGTAATAACACACTCTGTCTGTCTATCTATCTATCTATCTATCTATCTATCTATCTATCTATCTATCTACCTATCTGTCTGTCTATCTATCTAGTCCACAGCAGCAGCAGCAGGCCAGGTGCAATTTGTACTCTTTTTCCAGCACACAAGCCACTGTGCTTGCCTGTTTTTGTTGTTCAGTCTGTTGCCCACCGCTACCTACCCCTCCAGAGCCTAGCATTCTAGCTTTGTCAGAAACCCCCAGGCAGGGGGTAGTTCCCTGCCAGCCTCAGCATCTCCAGGGTGAGGAGGCCCAGGCTTGCACAGGGGGCCTGTGGACCTGCATTGGCTGAGGTCACCCAGCAGTATTACTTTCCTCTGCCCCTGAATTTGGACCAGGCAATTTCTGAACCTCATTTCCTCAATGCCTATTAAACTCCTCAGTCATCAGTCAATCCCTTGAGTATATTTTCTTTTCAGATGATTTGGTCCACAGGAGGACCCTGTGGCTAGAGAGGGATTGGCGCCAACAGTCTAAAAAGGTTTAAAGCATGAAGTAATCCTGTTGTTGGTCATTATGGGATGGGGTGCCAAAAGGGATGGGTGAGGAGATACAATAAACACGTTTTCAAGTCTTCCCTCTTCCCCTCTGCGTCTTTCTTTACCTTCCCAAGCCCGCACTTTTCTACCACATCTTGGCCATTTATTTCTGCAGTTGGAGAAGTACTTACAGGGTACTTATTGTTCCTATGGAAAACAATACCACAGTAGTAATAATACAAGAATAACCTCAGTGTTCCATGTACTCACAACTGTAAACCGACTTTTGCCCCACCCTGTTTTTTCTCGTTTGCTTCAGGGAGAATTGGAGGGGCCACATTGGCTGACACTCGATCAGGGAAGAGCCTGCAGGAATGTTGTTGAGTCTGTAAAGAAACAGGTCGCTTCTCTTCTCCTCTTCCCGCAGAAGTGAGCCGGAGGGGTTCATTCAGAGCAGGAGTACTTGGAGCCGTGTCCCCGTGACATGTGTGGCAGGTGTATGCTATCAAACTTGGCTGCTGAAGAGACGGTCTGTAAAGGGGGAGGAAAGGGATCACCCTCAGCACTAAGACAGCAGGGGCCATGTCTGCAGCCTGGTTACCAAGAGAAACCTGCCTGGAGGCCAGTGGTCAAGTGGAGGGATTGACTGCTCAGGTGCTTGGCTTTGTCAGAGTCAGTGTTGGTGGCATGAATGGTTGGACGGCCTTGTGATGCTTAAGAAAAAACAGCAGTTATTTCCTCACCAAGATAGAAATGTACTGAATGTGTTAAGAGAGGTTTTATATGAGTAAAGTTTTTAATCATCCTTTTGAAATTTAATTTGTAATGTAGGTGAACTCTGTCCTTGCAAACCTGAAAACTACAAATTTCTTCAAAACTACAGAAATTCAGTCGCATCTGGGTCTGAGCCTGCAGTTTTTGGGAGCCGTGGTTCTCAGGAGGAGCAGTAAGGTTCTCTCAGATCCTAGGAGGGCAGGATACATAAATCTAAAAACTGGAGGCATAATTGAATCATCAGCATCTTTTTTTCTCGCTAGAACTCTTTCTGTAACTTGGATTAACGTTCAAAAATGGGATTGCAGTCAGTTATTAATTGCCCAACTACTGGCTGTTTAATCCTCTTCCTTGCTGATCAAGCTCTGATTTTGTTTAAAGCAGCAAGTTGCTGAGCCCCAGGGGAGGGATTATATTTTTTTCTAGGCCTTTCATGTCACGTCTTTCTTCTTGTCCTGACATGTTTCCCACCTTTCCTCTGACGGTGGTCACAAGACCCATTTGGGGCCAATAAGATGGAATGGAAAACCGGGGAACTCTTGGCAGAATTTTTTCTCCCTTGATTAAAGAACTTGATTTCTTGTTCAGAACACCAGTTAATGGGATCTGGATCTGTGGCAACAATCTTGCAAATAGGAGGTGAAAAATACAAAGATGAAAAACCACCATGTCAGAGATGTCAGATCAGAAAAATGGAGGGAACCTGCCTCGCAGATGACATTCTTGAGCCACCGAGTCAGTGCCAGTAACCACATACCTCAGAGCGTTTAGAGAACACAATCCTCCATAGCTCAAGACTGTATTAGTAAAGGATTCTTACAGCTAAAAACATTTCTGAGTGACACATTCCAATCCTACATAGATCAGGCCTCAGATTCGTTTCCCAGGGTCTGCCTCCCTCCTTTGATTTGAAAGCTCCCTTTTCCTCCCCTCCTCTATGTTGTATGTATCCTAAAATATTCAGCATCTCCTCTTCGAAGGTTCTGCTGATCTTTCATCTCTGTCTTCCTGAAGCAGTTTGCCAGTACCCCCCACAAAACACGTTCCAGTTGACTTTGATTAGCTGTGTACTCCCCTGGTGCTCCTTTAGATTGTGGGATATATTTGAAGAGCAAAGACCACAGCGTATCCCCCACCTCTGTGCCTCAGTCCGGTTTGGGGAGGGTTCTGGTGGGAGATGGTAGTCTCAGCAACTGCCTGTTGAGTACGTGCTAACTCTGTGGCATCTGCAACTGAAAGTCTGTCCTTAGCCCTCTCCGTAAAAGTCTGGAAGATATTATCCTTACAAATGACTTTGTAAATACTCCGGGAAATTGGCTTCCACTGCCACTCCAGCAGCTAAGCCAGTTTGGCTCCAGGTCTTAGAGAAATGATTTGTCGTCTGTTTCATTTGTTTGCTTTTTCCTGACACAGCTGGAATTCTGGATTGTTCCCCACTTAGAAATCTGCCAAATCCAAACCACAAGTAGACAGGGCAGGACACAGGCTCTTCCTTCCCCCTCGTTTTCACAGGGTAGAAAGTCAGAGGCAGCTTTCCTAGGGCTACCCTTCGTGTGTGTTTTTCTCAGGAGCACATTAGGAGTATTATTTTCCTGTAACAGAGGGGATCGTAAGATACTTGAGAGGGAAAGGCTT